ATCTGTCTGTCTGTGATGGACGCATTGGACTGCACAGTTTAGCTTTTAGGTCAAACGTCTTTCTCTCCTGATTTTAGAGGGTTAGGATCATCCTTTGTGGATTTGTAGTGTGGAGCCGACTGGGACAATGCAGAAATCACGAGCCATCTGTGTTGCTGGTGCCGAGTAATCAGCAGATGCAATTCTGAATATTTGGATATTTTATTATCTAGTGCTATGGCGGGAAACATTTGGAGTCAGGAGCTTTGGAATTTAGAGACAATTATTCAAAATGGCGGCTCCCAGAGGAGATGTAGTGTGTGTGATAGTAAAGTACGCTTCGTGTGCCAAAGCAGAATGTACCAGAAACAATGACCCTTTATTGATAATCCTTTATTAAATGTTCATGGTTTGCTTCCTCCTTTCATAATCCTTTTATTAAATGTTCTTGGTTTGCTTCCTTCTCCCATAATCATTTTATTACATGGTCATGGTTTGCTTCCTCCCCCAATAACTCTTTATTAAATGTTCACGGTTTACTTCCTCCTCCCATAATCCTTTATTAAATGTTCACGGTTTGCTTCCTCCTCTCATAATCCTTTTAATAAATGTTAATGGTTTTCTTCCTCCTCCCATAATACTTTATTAAATGTTCATGGTTTGCTTCCTCCTCCCATAATCCTTTGTTGCATGGTCATGGTTTGCTTCCTCCTCCCATAATCCTTTATTACATAGTCATGGTTTGCGTACTCCTCCCACAATCCTTTATTAAATGTTCACGGTTTGCTTCCTCCTCTCATAATCCTTTTAATAAATTTTAATGGTTTTCTTCCTCCTCCCATAATACTTTATTAATCATGGTTTGCTTCTTTTCCCATAATCCTTTTTAATGATTTTTGCTTCCTCCTCCCATAATCCTTTATTAAATGTTCATGGTTTTTCCTTTTAGCCCTCAACCTAGATGTGGTTGACATGTTTTTGTTTATGTATTGTAATGAGATCTCATATTGGCTACCCTGGATTCCTTCGTTCGTTTGTTTGTCTCAGGTTAGCTTATTATACCGCTGGTCCCAATTCTATGATGGAGACGTGTCTACCTTTTAAGCTTGATCACCAGTGGCACTGGAAGACTGGAGCTTGCCTCGTTGGTTATGATTCTTTCCGCTCATATTGGTTACGACATGACTATTTGATTTTCTCTGTACTGTTTCTTTACCCTTAAATAAAGATTACATTAAACAAATGTCCATGGTTTGCTTCCTCCTTCCACAATCCTTTATTAAATGTTTGTGGTTTCTTTCCTCCTCCCTGCATAATCCTTTATTACATGTGCATGGTTTGCTTCCCTCTCCCATAATCCTTTATTACATGGTCATGGTTTGCTGTCTTCCTTCCATATTCCTTTATTAAATGTTCATGAAGCAAACCATGCTTCCTTCTCCCATAAAGGAATATTACATGGTCATAGCTTTCTCCATGATTCCATTTATAAAGGAAGGAAGGGAAGCAAACCATGAACATGTAATAAAGGATTATATGGGAGGAAGGACAGCAAACCATGACCATGTAATAAAGGATTATGGGAGAGGGTTTGCTTTCAAACCTCCACATAAGCCTTTATTAAGGATTTCAGAGGGAGCTTCCTCCTCCCATAAAGAAATGTTAATGAACATTTAATAACCCTTTATTAAATGTTCATGGTTTGCTTTCTCCTCCCATAATCCTTTATTAAATGTTCATGGTTTGCTTCCTCCTCCCATAATCCTGTTATTAAATGTTAATGGTTTGCTTTGCTTTCTCCTCCCATAACCCTTTATTAAATGTTCATAATGTTTTCTTCTCCCCCCCCATAACCCTTTATTAAATGTTCATGGTGTGCTTTCTCCTCCCATAACCCTTTATTAAATGTTCATGGTTTTCTTCCTCCCCCCATAACCCTTTATTAAATGTTCATGGTGTGCTTTCTCCTCCCATAATCCTTTATTAAATGTTCATGGTTTGCTTTCTCCTCCCCCCATAATCCTTTATTAAATGTTCATGGTTTGCTTTCTCCTCCCATAACCCTTTATTAAATGTTCATGGTTTTCTTCCTCCCCCCATAACCCTTTATTAAATGTTCATGGTGTGCTTTCTCCTCCCATAATCCTTTATTAAATGTCCATGGTTTGCTTTCTCCCCCATAATCCCTTTATTAAATGTTCATGGTTTTGCTTTCTCCTCCCATAACCCTTTATTAAATGTTCATGGTTTTCTTCCTCCCCCCATAATCCTGTTAATAAATGTTCATGGTTTGCTTTCTCCTCCCATAACCCTTTATTAAATGTTCATGGTTGCTGTCCTCCTCCCGTCATCCTTTTATCTGGAACTCTACTACCAATTGTTGTGATTTTCCATAATCCTCCAACAATCCAGCCAATTGGGTGTGTGCTCATGGACCAATAAGATTTGACATTACAATATCCACTCTGGTTTTTTAATTCCACTGTTTTTGGCACCTTGCAATTTGTCATTATTTGATATGGGTGGGATAGTATCAGGACGACGGTGAGGATACATTCGTCATTCTAGTAAAGTATATGAAAACAATCTCACAATCTAGTTTTATTTTGTTGACATTATAACACACTGCATGCAGTTTTTCTTTTTTTATATATATATATATATATATATATCTGTTGCCAAGTTTCATACCTGAAGATCCTGCCAGTGACGGCACTTCCTGTGGAGACTGACATTGATCCTAGCAGTGATGTTGTCAGCAAGCTGGTCAAACTCCTTCAGTTGGCCATTGGACTTCCTATCTGGTTTGCACATGCAGCCTGCAGTCCTGATGGCCAGGTGAAGGAGAGCGGGCGGCAGGCTCACCAAGTGTGGATTGGCATTGTCTGCCTCAGCAGAAAGTTCTGTTACTGGCAGCATCTGACTTCCAAAAATAATTTGGTTAACGCATTGGAGCCAGCCTCTGCCGACCTATCAGGGGTTCTTAAAGGCGGAAGGCAGAGGGGGTTCCCTGATCATGTGGTTGGTGGTCAAGTGGACCTCCCTCCTGGCTCCTGATCATAAACAGTGACTTGGAGCTATCAATGGTGGCTCAGTGCCTGGGATATGAGTGTGCAGTAAGTGCACTCTAAGTGCTGAGGCATAAAAGTTCATCACGGGTGTTAAGGTCCATTTATAAAAAGCACATTAAGCTGGTGTGAGGCTAAGAAATGTGCCCACAATGAGGCATGATACTGAAAAATAGAGCCAAAAACGTATCCTTCCTAGGGTACGACACCTTAGATGAGCACTACATACATATTCTATATCATTTGTGGGAATGTTTTATTATATTATTTTGTTTTTTTACTTTTGAAATATAACAACGAGGGCAGGCATTCCTTCTGAGTGAAAACCACGTTGCCCTGGACAAGCCACGTCACCTTTCAAGGGTCCCAGTGCCAGGAGATCTCTTCAATCTTTCTCATGTCCCTCAATAGAAAATTGAAGACTGGTCCCTTTACGTCTTCTGAACGATATGTATGTAGAGCCTACCAACAGAACCTACTATCAGTTCAGATGAAGTGGCTCCATGTGTTAACGCATTGGACTTTTGAGACTACTTTAGGAGACCTGGGTTCAAATCCTGGAGCTTCCAGAAGATCTGTCTCCTTGGTTGGGTTTATAATTGAGAATGAGGTTGATTACTATAAGTCAGCAGTCATTTTGATTTATAAAGCTTTGATGGTCAAAGAGCTAGCTGCTAACCCCAGAGCCAGATCCTCAATAGGTAAGAAAAATATTCTAAGTCCCACTTTTTACCCGTTGGGTAAGACATCTCCTTACAGATATTGTGTGAATATCACAGATTATTTGTGGAATTCAGTTTATTTACAAAGACGTGATTTACTAAGTACTAATGTCTAAGGGGCTGGCAGCTCAATCCTAAACTAGAGCCGTGTTATAGAGTAGGGGGTCTATCAGCCAGGCAAAGAATCAGAAGTGATTTTGGGAATTGCAGGTTCAAATCTCTGAAATTTCGTGAGTCACTGATAGATTTTACTTACTAAGTCTTGATTTAGTGAACTGACTTCCAAAGAGTTGGGTGGCTCAGGGACTAGTAGACAGCCCATAAACCAGATGAGATTTTTGAATTTCAGGTTCGAATCCTGATTCTTCTATTGGAATTTGTGATATTTTACTTCTGAAGTAGAACATTGAGTACATGAGTTTCTGAGCAGAAGCAAGTAGCTCAGTGGATGAGAGCGTTGACCCAGGGCACCGTAGACCCGAGTTCAAATCCACACAAGAACTGCAGACCCCTAAGTGCAGATCTGTGAAAGCACTGTAGTCTCCAAGGGCAATTCCATGAAAGTGCTTCAGATTCAAAGGCCGGATCCACAAGAGGGCTGCAGACCCCAAGGGCAATTCCATGAAAGTGCTTCAGATTCAAAGGCCGGATCCACAAGAGGGCTGCAGACCCCAAGTGCAATTCCATGAAAGCGCTGTAGACTCCAAGGGCAATTCCATGAAAGCGCTGTAGACTCCAAGGGCAATTCCATGAAAGCGCTGTAGACTCCAAGGGCAATTCCATGAAAGCGCTGTAGACTCCAAGGGCAAGTACATGGAAGCACAGTAGACTCGAGCTCAAATCCCTGAGTGAAAGCTTGAAGGCCATGGACAACCCACCAATCTGCTCCAGTCCCAGGTCCCCACAGGCCTGTAACATGTGTGGGCATCACATTAGGTTGTGGACACCCCCCCCTCCTTGGTCCACGGTCTGTGACATCACTGCAACATATATAAATACAATGGGCTGTCTTACCGGAGCAGCCCATTCAAAAAGCAGGGATTTAGGGTTTTTCTTGGCCTCACCCTACACACGCACCTGAACCCCCCCTGCTGGTGGGACAGGGCAGTGAACATTTTCCCACTACCCTATTCCACCAACAGAGGGGTTCAAGTGCTGCGCAGCACCCAAGACACACGTGGCCTTCCCTCAGAGGGATTTGAACTCAGGTCTCCAGAAGACCAGTCAGAGCTCTTACCCTCTGGGCTACCACACATGCTCAAGAAGTAATGTTCTCCCATTCCAGAAATACAAGGATTTTACCTACAAAAAAACCCAAGCAGTAGACAGCACCTCAGTCTTCTTTACATCCAAGGGCAACCAGTCTCAGCGCAGACTCCTATTTCAGAAGCACAAGTAATACATAAACAGAAGACTGAATAGGGGGGATTACAAAATAGCTGGAAGACTGGCAACCTTCCCACTGACCACCAATGTAAGGGACATTCTTCCCACTGACCGCCAATGCAAGGGACATTCTTCTCACTGACCGCCAATGTAAGGGACATTCTTCCCACTGACCTCCAATGTAAGGGACGTTCTTCCCACTGATCATCAATGTAAGGGACATTCTTCCCACTGATCGCCAATGTAAGGGACATTCTTCTCACTGACCACCAATGTAAGGGACATTCCTCCCACTGACCTCCAATGTAAGGGACATTCTTCCCACTGATCGCCAATGACATTCTTCCCACTGATCACCAATGTAAGGGACATTCTTCCCACTGATCACCAATGTAAGGGACATTCTTCCCACTGACCCCCAATGTAAGGGACGTTCTTCCCACTGATCGCCAATGTAAGGGACGTTCTTCTCACTGATCGCCGATGTAAGGGACGTTCTTCTCGCTGACCACCGATGGAAGGGACGTTCTTCTCGCTGACCACCGATGGAAGGGACGTTCTTCCCACTGACCACCGATGGAAGGGACGTTCTTCCCACTGACCTCCAATGTAAGGGACATTCTTCCCACTGACCTCCAATGTAAGGGACGTTCTTCCCACTGACCCCCAATGTAAGGGACATTCTTCCCACTGACCACCAATGTAAGGGACATTCTTCCCACTGACCACCAATGTAAGGGACATTCTTCCCACTGACCACCAATGTAAGGGACATTTCTTCCCAATGTTTCTTTATTAAAAGTCTTGCAAACAATAAACATAAAATTATATACAGAATATACAAAAATAAATAATTATATACATATTTACACAAAAAAGAAAATAAATATAGCAAAATCTGCTGTCAGACAAAAGATGGCTTTATAGCAAAAAGCAAAACTCTCAGAAATGAACATGTCATTACTGGGGGGAAATAAATCTTACAAAGACTCACATCACCACACCAGACATCAAACCTGAGAGATCAGGAAACAACCCCGCCCCCATTATGCATGCAGCCTTTCTTCAAAAATAAGATTTTAACCAACAAAAACTAAAGGAGTGAAAAGAACAGCATAAGGAAAGAGCCCCTCACCCAGAGATGGACAGTTCACCAAAGGCAGGCCTGATATTCCTCCACGCCTTTATCCAGACCGCCCGAGGCTTCCTGCCCTTCTCAAGACCCCAAATCTTCCCAACCTTACCCAGAATATCATGCACCACCACCTCAACAGGGAGAACTTTGTTCCACGGGATAATTTAGCATTCTGCATTCCATGTGAAGTAACAAACAACTATACTAACTAGAAAAAGTGTATCCAAATCAAAATCCCAGCGAGCTGGGAATGCCCCATAGACCCACTTCGCATAACTCATGCGATAGAAAAAGGAATGTTCAGACCCACCCCACCCTTTTATATACCTCTATGTTAAGAGACATTCTTCCCACTGACCACCAATGTAAGAGACATTCTTCCCACTGACCACCAATGTAAGGGACATTCTTCCCACTGACCGCCAATGTAAGGGACATTCTTCCCACTGACCGCCAATGTAAAGGGACATTCTTCCCACTGATCGCCAATGTAAGGGACATTCTTCCCACTGACCGCCAATGTAAGGGACATTCTTCCCACTGATCGCCAATGTAAGGGACATTCTTCCCACTGACCCCCAATGTAAGGGACATTCTTCCCAATGTGATCACCAATGTAAGGGACATTCTTCCCACTGACCCCCAATGTAAGGGACATTCTTCCCACTGACCCCCAATGTAAGGAACATTCTTCCCACTGACCCCCAATGTAAGGGACATTCTTCCCACTGACCACCAATGTAAGGGACATTCTTCCCACTGACCACCAATGTAAGGGACATTCTTCCCACTGACCACCAATGTAAGGGTCATTCTTCCCACTGACCTCCAATGTAAGGGGCATTCTTCCCACTGACCACCAATGTAAGGGACATTCTTCCCACTGACCACCAATGTAAGGGGCATTCTTCCCACTGACCACCAATGTAAGGGACATTCTTCCCACTGACCCCCAATGTAAGGGACATTCTTCCCACTGACACCAATGTAAGGGACATTCTTCCCACTGACCCCCAATGTAAGGAACATTCCTCCCACTGACCACCAATGTAAGGGACATTCTTCCCACTGATCCACCAATGTAAGGGGCATTCATTCTTCCCACTGGGACATCACCAATGTAAGGGACATTCACCAATCCCCACTGACCCCCAATGTAAGGGACATTCTTCCCACTGATCACCAATGTAAGGAGCATTTCTTCCCATTGACCATCAGTAAATTGGTTTTTTATTGGATTCCCCTAAAAATAATTTCAGTGGTTCCTCTGGGGTAAAAAAAAAAAATTGAGACGGGCTGCTCTATAAGTCCCCTTTTGCCCCTTCCCCAACAGCCACATTAAGGGAGGGGCGGAGGAGCTGGGTCAGCACAGAAAGTAATTAGACACTCCCAAAAGAGAAGAGGGCCATTTTGAGGGTGGGGGCTGTGCTAAGGACTTGCTTCTTCTTCTTCTGTTCTTATGAACAGGAAAATGCTGCAAGTATGCATGTACAATACTTGATTCTCCTGTGGTTTTACCTGCAATGCTGTAAGTTGGTGCCGCTTTATACTGCATGTATCAGCTGAGTTGAGCTGTAGTGGCCCTTTAAGACACTGGCAGAGTGGCCTGTGCGGCAGCTGCTTCCTGCGACTCCCCCAATAATAAATGCACATTGCCTCCAAAGGGGCTCATTATATCTTTGTAGAGATGTTTCTGTAAAGCTCAGGATGATTTTTCAGTGGAGTAGCCCTCAGCAAAATGTATTATGCATTTTCCTCCTGATAAACAGACCGCTGTTATGTAAGTGTTCTGAGAGAGACAGAGCGGCTTAGACTTGCCAAGAAAAATAAATAAAAAGAAACCCGTAGTTTGGGTCTGTGTGCGCTGGAGTGCGGACCCGGAGATGGAAGACAGGAAGTTCTGGGAGAGTTGGGACGGTTCCAGCAGGACCTCTCTCCTCCGTCTCTCGCCTTCTGTCCGCTCTGTTCCAGCTTCGGGGAAAAAAAAAATATCTCTGCATCCTAAAATCAGACTTGGCACACTGAGAAAAAAAAAACTGCCGACAGCCAGAAAAATGTAAAGCGCACGTCGCACAGTTTTCAGTGTGAACTTTTTGGATGCCCTCTTTTTGAGTTTTTACTTCTTCCGAGTCAGTGAGTGCAGAAAGCGGAGCTCCGGGCAGACATGTGCACGCCGGAAACGATTGTTTCCTTTCAGACGCATTCGTGATTAAAGAATTTCGTTTCGTCATGTATGTTATGTTGACCTGATTAGCTCTTGGAATTAGTTTTGTATCTTTGGCATGCGTTTCGTATATTCCTTGGTCTGGGTGGGTTCGAAAAATTTTGCTCCTTTTTGGGCAGACTGCTATATATTCGATTTATGATCGAATCAGAAGGACTTGATCATTTTCGGGCGGTAGTCCAACCCACCAAGAGAAACGGCACGATCTGATTGGATAATATCGACTGGCACCATGTGCATCCGAATCAACAAATGGATCGAAATTCTAATCCATTCGTTATCTGAACCCGAATCATCGAATGAATTTGGAAATTGAAATCATTTGCCCATCGACCAGAACTACAATCGCATCATCCAAATGAAATGAATGAAACATGCATTCCTTAATTTTGTTTTTTTTTCAGCTTCATTACTGTGTGCAAATGAAAAAATTTTTTTTGTCTGAAAAACCAATTTATAATAAAACGAAACGCACATGTCTACCACCAGGTAGGGATCATATTGTATTGTTACCAGGGGCGGACTGACAACTCATGGGGCCCCCGGGCAATAGGAAATCATGGGGCCCTGGTGTCCTCGCCCACACTCAAACCACACCCAAAAAAGCCTATGAAAGGTACCAGGGACATCTCATGGGGCCCCCTACTGACCCTGGCAGTGCCCGAGTGCCTAAATGGTCAGTCCACCCGATTCTTACATACGCCTTACTGGTGGGACTGCTATGGAACTGGAGAAACCCTGAAGATAAAGAGGAACTTCTACAAATACTGTAGCTGCTGATTATAATAAAAGGACACTTACCAGTCCAAGGATTAAGCAATGTCCTCACCCGGGCCGGTTCTTCACCAGTATCAGTGTCCCTGGTGCCACCATGTTGACTGCAAGATTCCCTACAGCTTCACAGCTGGCACCCTATTGCACTCTTTGAATGGTCCTGCATCCTCCTGGAACCTGTGACATGTCCCTGGAGGTTGCGGGTTGTGAGGGGATCACCTAGGACAGTGGTCGGCAAGCCGCGGCTCGCGAGCCACATGTGGCTCTTTACAAACTTAAATGCGGCTCTTCTGTGTGCCGGGCGCCCGCTCCCCTCCCTCCTCTTGGGCGGCCGCCCCAAAAGTCAGGACTCTGCAGCTGTCAGGATGTAGGCGGGGCAGCCAGGATGTAGGCGGGGCAGCCAGGATGTAGGCGGGGCAGCGTGACAAACTCCTCTCCTCTCACAGTCCGCCCTGAAGACCAGAACGGCGCAAGAACACGGCGAGAAGAACGCGCGGAGCAAAGGTAAGTGAATTGACACAATATGGGGAATTAATTACTATAGGGGGGATGAATTACTATATGGGGGATGAATTACTATGGGGGATGAATTACTATATGGGGGGATGAATTACTATGGGGGATGAATTACTATATGGGGGATGAATTACTATGGGGGATGAATTACTATATGGGGGATGAATTACTATAGGGGGGATGAATTACTATATGGGGGATGAATTACTATATGGGGGATGAATTACTATGGGGGATGAATTACTATATGGGGGGATGAATTACTATAGGGGGGATGAATTACTATAGGGGGGATGAATTACTATGGGGGATGAATTACTATAGGGGGGATGAATTACTATGGGGGATGAATTGCTATAGGGGGGATGAATTACTATAGGGGGGATGAATTACACTATATGGGGGATTAATTACTATGGGGGATGAATTACTATGGGGGGATGAATTACTATAGGGGGGATGAATTACTATGGGGGATGAATTACTATATGGGGGATTAATTACTATGGGGGATGAATTACTATAGGGGGGATGAATTACTATAGGGGGGATGAATTACTATATGGGGGATTAATTACTATGGGGGATGAATTACTATAGGGGGGATGAATTACTATATGGGGGATGAATTACTATGGGGGATTAATTACTATGGGGGATGAATTACTATATGGGGGATGAATTACTATGGGGGATTAATTACTATATGGGGGATGAATTACTATATGGGGGATGAATTACTATAGGGGGAATGAATTACTATATGGGGGATGAATTACTATATGGGGGATGAATTACTATAGGGGGAATGAATTACTATAGGGGGGATGAATTACTATATGGGGGATGAATTACTATATGGGGGATGAATTACTGTGGGGGGATGAATTACTATAGGGGGGATGAATTACTATAGGGGGGATGAATTACTATAGGGGGGATGAATTACTATATGGGGGATGAATTACTATGGGGGACGAATTACTATAGGGGGGATGAATTACTATAGGGGGGATGAATTACTATATGGGGGATGAATTACTATATGGGGGATGAATTACTATGGGGGATGAATTACTATAGGGGGGATGAATTACTAGTGGGGATGAATTACTATAGGGGGGATGAATTACTATAGGGGGGATGAATTACTATATGGGGGATTTATTACTATGGGGGATGAATTACTATAGGGGGGATGAATTACTATAGGGGGGATGAATTACTATATGGGGGATTAATTACTATATGGGGGATGAATTACTATATGGGGATGAATTACTATATGGGGAATGAATTACTATATGGGAGATGTATTTTCAGTTTTAAAAATGTGGCTCTCAAAATAAATTTCAATCGTGGTTTTGGCGAGATTTGGCTCAGTTGAAAAAAAAGGTTGCCCACCACTGACCTAGGAGAACCGAGAGGAAGTGAGAGTGGGTACCTGTCGAAGTTACCATTACCGGCAGAGGAGTGGCAGAAGTGGAAGAGCTTTCTGTAGTAGGTGAAGTTCCACTTTAAGTTGCCACTTCCACGGTGATCGCCGCTGTCTTCTGGATCCTGTGCACAAGTGGTCACTCGCTCGGCACAGGCACCATTCACAGCAAGCCTTGCATTCCTCTCAGCGAATGCAAGCTGCTCTCTGATTGGATGACGTGGAGATCGTGATGTCACTCCCCTCCACCTCGTCTAACCTGAGAACACTTTGAATTCATTGATAAACATGCAAGACCCACTAGAGGCAACTACAGCGATTCTCCATTTCTACGGTGGTCCCTCAAGCATTGAAATGACAAGCTAGTTTGTACAGTCCAGGGGCGGACTGACAACTCATGGGGCCCCCGGGCAATAGGGGATCATGGGGCCCCTGTGTCTTTGCCCGAACTCAAAAAAGCCTATGAAAAAGGTACCAGGGGCATCTCATGGGGCCCCCTACTGACCCCGAGCCCTCGGGCAGTGCCCGAGTTTCCAAATGGTCAGTCCGCCCCTGGTACAGTCCTTTAAAAGGTGTTTTTTTTGTTTTTTAACACGACGCATTTCGGGTCTCAGCACTCCCCCTTCATCAGGGCTTAAAAAAAACAGATCATGAACACGCCTGGACTGAATAAAGGCTTCAGGTATGGCATATGACTTACGCTGGTCCAAGCTGGAACAATTTAAAGAGAAACTTAAAAAGGGAAGTTCCACCTTCTAATTCCCCCCCTAACATTTTGGAAGTTTTTTCTTTTTAGGGAGTGGGTACCTATCTCTGTCAGGGACCCGCCCTCACTTCCGCTTGGGTCATCCAGGAGAAAGTTTGGCAACCCCCCCCTCCCCTTCTCACAACCTCCTGGGACATGTCACAGGTCCCAAGGGGCTGCGGGTCTATTCACAAAGCACAGTGTGACTCCCA